AGTGTCAGAAAACACAACCCTCTCTATTTTCCTCCATACCCAAATCTCTAAAAAAGGGGCTGCAACGGATCTGATCAAAACTGATCCAGATTTGAACACTGTCCTGACGTCAGGACAGTGGCGCTACGGCTATTGGGCCAACTTCACCAATCAGGAGGAGACAGCCACGGCCATTGCCGTTCTAAAGCGCTGGAGATGCTGTAGTACATATGCCAGGCCTGTAGGTGGTGCTGTTCTCACAGAATCTGCCCTTGCAAAAACAGGGCTAAAAAAGTGCAAATTGAGCGAAATGAGGCATGGCTAAAATGCATGATCTGTTTGGTATTTTGAAAAAAAAAAAGTATAAATATGCCTTATATAGGTATGGTCCTACACTATATTATTAAAATATAGCATGATAGGTCCACTTTAAGTTTTTGTTATAGTTGAGCAAAAATGACTATTTACTCTGCCTTTTTAAAGTGGGATCTTGGTAGAGAGTGAAGTTCAAATGTATCTGCATGGCATGAGCATTAATTAGTCATGCCAATATAAAACAGGAAGGAAAGAGAGACTAGTTATTCTTAGGAAATGTTTAAATAACCAATGAGCTCAGATTTCTTCCTCAATTGTCTTCAAGTGTTAAAGTGGACGTATGTGTACAACCCTGTCTCCTAAAAATTACGTTCCCACAGAACTAAACTGCATTCTCAATTACGTTTAGCTAGAAATGTATTTTCTCCCACGTTACGTTTGTTATGAACTTATCTCAAATACGTTTATTTTCTACATATCTTCTAGAAACATATTTTCTCCCACGTTACGTTTGTTATTAACTTATCTCAAATACGTTTATTTTCTACATATCTTCTAGAAACATATTTTCTCCCACGTTACGTTTGTTATGAACTTATCTCAAATACGTTTATTTTCTACATATCTTTGCCATTTATTGTCTTGCTTATAATAATGATAATAGTCATTTATAAATATCATTTTAGAGCACACATTTGAAATCGACGATCGGGCTCGATATCCTATGGTTAAATTAAAATCAGTAGGCGAGGCTGTAATTTCGCCAGCTGCGAGGCAGAAAATAATAGTTTTAATATGCCAAAAAGCTGCTGTGTCGTTTATTGCACCTCAAACATTAAAACAAATCCAGAGTTACGTGTTTCTGTACTTCCTCTCAGAAGAAAGGACAGTATACAACAGAAGAGCTCTGTGGCTTCAGGCTTGATCGCCGTTCAAATGACAGCTGGTTTCCCCAAAAGTGGGCAGGGCTGTAAAGTGACGTAGGAAAGATCCTCAGCTCACTGATTGGATGTTTTAGCCGCAATGCACATCGGGATATGGTGTTAATGCGATATGAAATCCGAAAAAAAAATCTGAGTTTGGGATAGCCGAAGACACTACATTACCCATAATCCCCAGCTATCATTTGGGACTACAGTCCCGTTGACAAACCCCGTGATTAATCTTCAAGCTCTGGGATTGGATGTTGGAGTGGCAGTGCACCAAGGTTACGCCGAGCTCCAAACAGCTCTTTGAAATGGAACGAAACCACGGCAGACTTTCCAAAACTGGACTCGAACGCCCCCCCCAGAACTACACATGCTGGCTATTGTGTTTCGCAACATGTTCTATGGCACATCTCTACTGGGAATTGTAGTTTTAAAAGACGTTTTCGTTTTTCCCAAAATTAGAAGTTGACAGTATTAAACTGTACAGCCCTGGAGGTTTAGGGGATAGGAAACAAATTGGTGTGTACAAATGTAAAACATGTAATTAATAAATGGGTGAAAATCGCTTGTGTCCATAATGGGAAGCATTAATATATACCCACATGCCAGCTCATTGTTACTTTGTAATTCTACTCCACTACAATTCAGAGGTTAACCTGGTATTTTTACTCCACTACATTTATTTTAGTTACTTTGCAGATTCTGATTAATGATGTGAAATATAAACAACCCTTAAAGCAGACTTTAGTTACACCTGAGTAAAATTCAGGGAAAGGTGATTGTCAAGTGCCAACAATCAGGAGAGATATTAGTTGGTGCTTGAGAAGACTAAACATTTATCTGCAGATCTCTATAAAGTATATTCATTACTCGTTATTCTCTACTAATAGTTAATTAAAAACTGTATATAATAGCTAGTTTGCTCATCCCTTTCAAGATTTTCTAAGGTTTATTGACATATCATATACACAACTATGTTGAAGTTATGCAATTAATGAAAAACTTGGGTCACAGGTTCCTCAACAGTGCATTACAAGACATCTATCAATATGTGTGTATACCTCCACCATTAAACTCAAATTCTGCACATGTCTTATACTATCTACATACATAAGAGTATAATTAATATATATATAATATCAGTTAAAATAAGTGCTTCAACACAGTTAACATTGCAGGAAAGCAATATATTAGACGTTAAGTACTTTGTCAGGCTTAATATTTATCTGTAGATAGATACCCCCAAAGCTTTTTTCTTATTTGAAAGAAGACCTTAACCTAAAGTATTCTTTAATGTTAATAAAGGTTAATTAGTTTGTCTGTTTTGCACATCCTCATATTAATATCTTTGTACATCAGGCACTAAACTGTTTTATTGTAGAGATCACTTACAGTATCTTCTTGATTTTTTATATTCTATATTTCTATCATTGACCTTCTACTTTCCCCCTATGAAAGTATCTACTCTTAATATTTTATTCATCAAATAACATTATTCAACAAAAATAACATTATTCAACAAAAATAATTAAATAACGTGCTTTAACCACTAGGCAGTGCACACAAGGTACACACAGTATACTAATAATAACTTTGTATTATTAGTTAGTGTAGGACACTTATGTATGTATAACATCTGAAGATGTGTAGTTTTATTCATGTTTTTACATAATTGTACAGGATATTGCTATATTATTTCTCATGTTTTACTTCTACACATTAATATCTGATTTGTAAAACATCACAGACAGAAAGGTATATCCGTCATTTAATGGTAAGCTATTGAAATTGTGATTCCATAGATGTGTCTCCCATCACCCAAATCCCCTGACTATTCTCTCAACTCAGTATTTACATTCTTATATTCAAAGAAAATCAGTAATATCTTTAAAAACTACAAGTCCTTTTCTATCAGCTGTGCACCGTTATGGTGCAAATATAACCTATCTACCAATTGGATCAAATATAAAAGTCAGCCAAATTAGTATTGATACTGCAAGGAGACGTATTTTGTGAAAAGAAATGTAAGATGTTGTTTAATTGTTGATATATTTATGATCCACGTCACGTATTCAGTTTCGGCGGCAGTTCTTCCTGTTTGTCCAGAAGTCTTCTCATCAGGGCTCTATAAATAAAGAACTACGGCAGATGTGTAATATTTAATGCAGCCGAACCGTGTATTACAATGCCGTTATGTGATGACTTTCCAAGAGAAAAGCAAGAACACTCGGAATAAAGTATTATTTTTTTTTTTTTTAATGTTTTCGGATTTCACATCGCATAAACACCATATCCCAACGTGCATTGCGGCTAAAACATCCAATCAGTGAGCTGAGGATCTTTCCTACGTCTGTTTCCGGTATTGTTCCTGTAATGAGAGTTCACATTTATGCTACATTGAAGGGTGGAATTGACTACACATCTTCAGAAACATAATTTGCTTCAGATATACTGTAACTCATAGCAATATTGTAACCATTAAGAAAAGCCAACTGCATTAAAAACCCAGTTAACAAACACTAGGTAAAGTATTTTTCCTTCAGTAATGAAGATGTAATTCCAATGTAGACACACCTGGGGTCGCTGTTCAGTCTGTTACGCTGAGCCATGCATTGTCTGGAACGTAAAAGGGACGAAGAAGACAAAGTGAAGTGACGTACTTCCGGTTCAATGTGAAAACATTCCCAGTTAAACAACAGAAACAAATCGCTTAATAAAAAGATAAAACACTGGCATGTAATTTATGTTAGAATAAATAGAATGGTTTTGAATAATAGATGAGAGTAAAATCTACGTCACTTTACAGCCCCCACCCACTTTTGGGGAAACCAACGCTGTCATTTGAACGGCGATCAAGCCTGAAGCCACAGAGCTCTTCTGCTGTCCTTAGAGGAAGTTTGAGGTGTTTGAGGTGCAATAAACGACACAGCAGCTTTTTGGCATGTTAAAACTATTATTTTCTGCCTCGCAGCTGGCGAAATTACAGCCTCGCCTACTGATTTTAATTTAACCATAGGATATCGAGCCCGATCGTCGATTTCAAATGTGTGCTCTAAAATGATATTTAGAAATGACTATTATCATTATTATAAGCAAGACAATAAATGACAAAGATATGTAGAAATAAACGTATTTGAGATAAGTTCATAACAAACGTAACGTGGGAGAAAATATGTTTCTAGAAGATATGTAGAAAATAAACGTATTTGAGATAAGTTCATAACAAACGTAATGTGGGAGAAAATATGTTTCTAGAAGATATGTAGAAAATAAACGTATTTGAGATAAGTTCATAACAAACGTAACGTGGGAGGAAATATGTTTCTAGAAGATATGTAGAGAATAAACGTATTTGAGATACGTTCATAACAAACGTAACGTGGGAGAAAATACGTTTCTAGCTAAACGTAATTGAGAATGCAGTTTAGTTCTGTGGGAACGTAATTTTAGGAGACAGGGTTGATGTGTAAGAGACAGAGAGTCAGTGTCCGATGTGAAGATGGGACACACTTTGCTCTGCACGCTGGGGTTATTCTGTGAGTACTTTTCAGACCCCTGGGCTAGGCCATTCCCTCTACTAAATGTGCTTCTTCTTTAGCCACTCCTGTGTCGCCTTGGCCGTATGTTAAGGTTTATTGTCCTGCTGGAAGACCCATCCATGACCCATTTTCTGTGTCTTAGCTGAAGGAAGGAGGCTATCGGCCAATATTTCACGGTACATGGCCCCGTACATCCTGTCCTCGATGCAGGGAAGTCGTCCTGTCCTCTTAGCAGAGAAACACATTTCGTCCTGTTGACTGTTGGGCTGCTTTGTGGAGTTTTACTGATAATTCTCCCGCTGCTGTTCCTGTATCTCTACAGAAAATCAAAAGGTAAGAACCTTTTCATCTGATATCAAATGAATTAAACTATAATTACTCAAAATTACACATGACATGTACCGGAAACCTTTGCAATTCAAGAAAAATGTAACTAATCAAAGGTTTTTCCTTTTTTCAACAGATTCAGTCTTCATCAGGTCGGTACAACCCTCTTTTATCTCATTTTGAACATGACAGCAGTTACATGTTAAAGTCAATCCACTTCATTATCTTCATGTGTATGGCCCACAAGATCTCAGAGCACCAATCAGGGCCCTGCTACAGACCACATGATCAACCAGGATGAAATTCAAAACATGCCACAATATTCTACTCTCCTCCATGGTCAGCCATTGTCCGGTTTGATAATATGATTTATTTTAACTTTTGGCCTTAATTGTGATTCAAATGTGGCTTGATTCTCACTTCTCTGTAGGTGATCGTTGTCTCTATGAAACAATAGGAGGGCCTGTAGAAGCTGGAAATGGTACAGTATCTGTGTTTAACATGGAGTAATACAAATACTACTGCAGTGGCCAGCAGTGTCTAAATAAAGTACAGGAATTGTCCTTTGATACATTATTTTAATCCTTCTAACAGGTGCCAGTAATGAACCAGAAGAGAGCCTTTACTCAAATGTGGCTGCAGGTAATGTCAAGTACAAAACACTTTTATACATATACACATAAATATACTAAAAGCTTTTATAATGTGCTGTGCTGCTTGCCAGTTTCAGCAATGAGCAAATCCACCAAATAAAGCTTTTACACTTTTTGTGCAATGTTATACAGCATGTTGTTTTCCAGTAATGTCTTGGTTTAATGATACATTACTTAAAATATCATAATTATTAAATGGCAAATGTAAATATGTTCACACACAAATGAATTGGCATTAACATACATTGTTTTATTCAAAAATAGACAGTACGATGAGCAGTAATGACCCAATGATAATAACTTATTTTGGTTTCTTCCAGATCAATAAAGACATCCTCATGGACAGAACCAATGGAGCGGATAAAAACATGAAAAACAACATCCTTGTTTCAGCAATTGAGTGTATTTGCTGCGTTTGTGTAAATAGTGCAGTGCCTTTTTAAAAAAATGCCTTTCTAGGAACATGGTGAATGCTTTGCAATTCAACTGTACTTACTTTCTGTGTACTTATATTTAGTGTAAAACATTGTACTACCACCTTATCTGTTAAATGTCTGATTCAGATCACGTGGCTCGAACCTTGTTGTACATTGAGTGATATTAGAGCCAGATACTAATATATGCAATATGGACACATGCTTTAGCACTGTAGATGCACACAGTGGACACACAAATATATTATTAATAAAACCCAAATGCAATTATACCTGCATGTACTGTTCAGTGAATGATTCTTACTAGATGCTACCACAGGGTGCCCACAAATTATCTAATGCCCTGAATTTATCTGCAGAAGTAGTCTCTTGCAAAAGCCAAAACATCTGAAGTCACAGCACCACCAATAGGTCAAACAAGCTTTTCAGATTCAAAGGAACTGAAGCACACACCTTTTGTACAATGTATTTGTTTTCTTTCAGATATTTAGGGCCCGTTTTTATTTATAAAAATAAAAATAACTTGGTTTACCTTATCTAATTTTTAATAATACAAATGTTCTGTATTGTGTGAAGCAGATTAACCAAAATAACTAAGAACATGATGGAATTTCTCAAACGCTTGTCACCAATAAAAAAACATCAACCCACAAATCTTATCTTTATTGCATGATTTCAATGCAATCAAAGCAGTAAAGCCTGTCCAGGAAGAAAACAAGGCAGAACATTTTATATTTTTCAAACATGTTATTGTCATTACAATTTTTAAATGGTAACCAAAACCCTTAATGCACTTAAAATATAATATGTTTTCTGCTAGTACTCTCACTTTATTATCTCGTATGATTTCAAAATGTGAATATACGTTACTGTATTTCAACATTGTCCATGAGCATGGGCGTAATTTCCACTGGGGACAGGGGGGACATGTTCCCCCCACTTTCAAATGTGTTTTAATTTTATTTTTTTGTACGCAAGCGCTTATCGCCAGGGAGGAGCACAGCCTCTCTCTGTGTGTGTGTGTGTGTGTGTGTGTGTGTGTGTGTGTTTGGCACTAGTGCATTTTGAGTGAGTAAGAGTGAGCGAGAAAGAGAGAGAGCGCACCAGTTACGGGGATTTTTGTTAGCATCTGGTGCTAGCTCAGAGCTAACGGACATTAGAAGCTGTTTCTACAACAAGGAGAGGGAGACCTCTCGCCTGTCAGACTGAGAGGCTGATAACTACAGCTCCGTGAGGTAAAGGACTCTCTGAGGGTTTAGATCCGGGGTCGGCAACCTTATTCATATGAAGTGCCATTAAAAAAAAAAATTCTGATCAGTGTGCCGACGATCGTGAATTGTCAAGGGGGGGGGGGGGGGTGAAGAGCTTGACGCTCGTGAACTGTCAACAGGAGGGCGGGGAAGCAGTTTGTGGACCTCTTTCACCTGTCAGCGCAACTTACATGATGCCGTTTAAACACATTTAAATAATTGTTTAAACGCCATAATAATAATGACGACCGTCCGTTCTGTGATTCTCCAGAACACACAGATGGCCAGTCCGCCCCTGTGTAGCATATGTTAAAGAGAGCGGGGTTGCGTTGCGTGCATGGCTTCCTTCTGCAGGTAACGGGGAGACGCGCTCTGGCAGCGGTCTCGTTCAGGATCCGAAAATAAAATTTAAATATTTGTTCCACTTATTTATTCCACTTATTCCTAGTGTGCCACTGGTGGCACGCGGCACCGTAACCAGTGCCAGGGGTTGCCGACCCCTGGTTTAGATAGTTAACTTTAGACTAAGTTATCTCAGTGGGTCTCAAACGGTTTGGTGACCATTTATGTACATATTTCCAATGCACACCTTTATTTAATATAGTTGTAAACAATAAGGTAGGAAATCATTCCAGTGTGTACTATAGGACAGTAAAAAATAATAGTGATTAGTCAAATATGCATAAATAAAAGAAAGAATGCTAACTAGGTAACATAAGATAAGATAAAGATAGGAGAGAGGAGGGACTGAGGTGTTAATAAAATAAACAAGTTTAAATTATTTGTTATTGTTTGTGATCAAGGATTTTTGATTATTTAAATATATACAGTTCTGTTTCATGAGTGTTGAGTGCTGTATCCATAAATCCCTTCATTTCCCCTCAAAGTGCGTGTAAACGTATACAAACAATATGCTGTATGTGGAGAGATGGAAGAAGGGAATCTACTGACGCACTACCGCAAACATTAGTTTGTCCAATTTATGTAAGTATGTTTTACTGAGGATATTTATTTTACTTTTTCTCCAGTCACTGTGCAGTTATAATAGAAGATTTATTTCGATATATGACCACAAGGTGGTGTCAAACTACTTTATCTGATACTTTACCTACTCGACACAAATAGTCCTTCTGAAGTCTGGCAGCAGGGTCTGATGTCATGTAACTCCTAACTAATAACTAAACAATTGACTGCTTACGGTTCACTTCCTTAGCTTAGCACTGATGCATGGAAGTGGAAGCTTTCAATGTTGACTACCCACCACATTTAAAACTACACAGCTACTGAAGTGTCGTGGTATTATTTATTTCAACCATTTTTATGGAATTAACATAATCTTTGTTCGACTGTGGATCAAATGTTGCACCTAGAAAAAACATATTTTCTGTATTCAAATGATTGCTTTATTACTAATGATATAGATATGAAATGTTGCTCCCTTAAAGTAGATAGAGTCTATCTCGAGGAGGGGGCTGGACTTTGTCTCTCTTCACGTTCACTTCTGGTCAAGAGACTATGAGAGACTTCCTGTGGGTGAGGTTGTTTCTGAACTTAAACTTGAATTCCTCCATAACACTCCATCACTGCGTTTCAACTATTTGGTTAAAGCTGTTACACACATTTCCATATGAAATATTGGTGAGAAGGCCCATGGATTATAAAGTGAGAATGACGCCTGCAATTGTATCTCCTTCTTAAAACTGTATGCACTTTATTTTTTCTAGAAAGACTTTATGCAGCAGCCTTTAGAGTAGCATCTGTGAATAATCATTACCAATGTACCGCAGGTCTCCCTTGAAAAAGAGATTGTTGATCTCAATGGGAATTTTCACGTGGTTAAATGAAAGCTACAAACAAACAAAGAATCACGAGCCCACAGGATGATCTTATCTACATCAGGAAGGATATATTAACACCTTATCTCTGTTCATCATTAGAGGATAGCTAAACCAAGGTGCAAAAAAATGTGCTGTGTTAAAAGCTGCTCAGTTGTGTGAGCTTTGTGTAAAAGGGAAGGAAGCCCTGACCGTGTAAAGAAGTTAAAACACAACTTCCGTTTCCAATATTACATTGCATTTGTTTCTCTGTAGTTCCTGATTTCTCTTCATATGCTGCAGTTTCAGTCTTTCTATTTGCACAAAGTAGAAGACTTTCTCAGAAGCAGATTATCAGTGTTGGATGTGAAGATGGGACACACTTTGCTCTGTCTACGGGGTTTTTTCTGTGAGTACTTTTCCTGTTTTAATTGCCATTGATAAAACTTTTTAAATGCCTGAGGTTAATATATATTTCTGTCAGTTTGATAATGTCTGATTTAGTTTCATACTTATTTCAGTTCTGAATTTACTTTACCGTGGACAAGCTCAAGGTAATTATACAATTTTCATACTTCATACTTTTTGTTTACTCATTCTAGACAAATCTACCGATGTAACTCTCCAAACAACATCCGTTTGGTCAATGTATAATACTGTTTTTGACAAAAAGAAAACACATTTTACTTTTTGTATCTTGTAAAGGAAAGCAATAAAATCTATCTAAATGTATCAGGTAAGTTATCAAAGTAATACCACCATGACCAAGTTCAATAAAAAAAAAATGTATTTATTTATGAGCCATGTTGATGTGAACACGCAGTTTGGACAAGTTCTAATATATAATCTGTACATTATTGTAATGTTTTAACGTTTGAACAGCTCCACTGACGCTGTATAGGCAGGTGAAGTATACTGTACAATCCTGTGCTTTTCATTATCACAAATTCAAGAGTATTAAAATAAGAATAAGAAGACAGGGATCAGTTTCTTACATCAAAGCATTTACATAAAGATAATACTTCACCAACAAACCTTGTTATACTTTATTACCTGTGACAAATGGATTGTTTTCACATTGACAGTTTCTGAGAGTAAGTCATTTATTATCAGTTAACTTTTTTTTACTGTATATACAAATAGCATTTTGGTTATTATATTTAAATACAGTTCACACTTAAATTAGTTTTTTACATACTGTATGCAGAAAATATGTAGGATCCAAGGAGTGCATGTAACCCACCAATTATACATCATAATGTTATCATTCTGTGAAATGTTGTTTTCCAACAGACAGACCTGAGGCTGTCCTCACTGTGTCTCCATCATGGCCGAGTCCTGGAGCCTCAGTAACTCTGAACTGCAGGCTTGATCATCCTTCTGCTGGCTGGAGCTTCTACTGGTATAAGGCTGTTCCCCAAAAGTCAGACCACTCCTACAACTCCTACGGCTATGAGCTGCTACCAGGCAGCGAGAATGGGACTGAACAGCATCTCTTCATCATTGATGGACAAACACACACAGCAGGATATGTGTGCAGAGCAGGAAGAGAGGATCCAGTGTATTACAGTTGGAGTGAACCTAAGTTTGTCTGGTCTGGAGGTCAGTATGTTCTTCCTTTTTCTTTCTTTCTGTAGTTTGTGCCACCATTAGGCCAACAAATGTCTTTATCAAAGTTTGCCTGGTCTTGAGGTTTGTTTTGACTTTTCCATTATTGCAAAATGGAGCAAAGTCACTTATTTTGGGAACTTTTCTTTTACACCAGCATCAGGTCATAGTTCAGTTTTCAAAACCTTTCTCTAAAACAGAATGATGATTGACTGATTCATCTTCTGGACTTGACTGAATTTGAACACAAAAGAATCTCTTTTCATCCTGACACATGAGTTGTTGTTCGCCATGGTTCAAACCTTAGACTTTGTCAATCCAAAACCTAATAATATAAGGCTTCTACAATACATTAGATATAAGTGTTTTCTTTATTTTTTTAGTTTGGAATATGTTTTAAGATATTTATCTGCTGGTTAAATAGTTTAAGACATAAACAATACATATAATTAAACACATTTGTAGTGTGAGATTGAGGCACTGGTACTTTCACTTTTGTTTTCCTCCTACTTTAGTTTGTTCCCGTTTGTTTTTTCAGGGTCAATTAAGTGGCAGTTTTGCCATACCAATGCATTGTCTTTTTCAGTCTGCATGGTTTAAATGTTCACTCTTTGTGTGTTTCAGATTTGAATTCAGCAGCGTCTCTCACAGTGAGTCCTGACAGTGTGCAGCACTTCACCAACACGTCTGTGTCACTGAGCTGTGAGGGAAACTCCACTGAGTGGAGAGTGATGAGGTTTATGAAATCATAACTTTATCCCTGTTCTTCCTCGGGGAAAATGACTGGATCCACATGCACAATAACCAGCAGCTGGGTTAGTGGAGTGTTCTGGTGTGAGTCTGAAACCGGACAGTTCAGTAATGCAGTCAACATCACTAAAGATGGTGAGTTTTAATTATTTAAAATGTTTGTTTCTGAAGTATTATGTTGTTTTGAAATGTGAAGGTGACAAGCATTAGCCAAACGTCTCTTCAAATGAGTAAAACTTCATAAAAAAGGCTAATTTGCGAAGTGTTTTCCAGGGGTACTTCTCTCAAAGATCAAAGATAATATTCTGTGTTTTAATGTCCTCATACATCTACCTGACATTTCAGCTTCTGCCAGACTAGGCCAGTTGTGCATAAACATATTAAATCTGCAAAAGCTGATGACTCTGTCAAAGCCTTTATATTCTTTGATTTCTTTTCAGATGATGAAATGATCCTGGTGAGTCCTGTCCGTCCTGTGGCTGAGGGACGTTCTGTCACTCTTAGCTGCAAGTTCAAGACAAGAACTGTTCTTTATAATGTGGATTTCTATAAAGATGACAAACTCATCCAGAACGAGACCAGGAAGGAGCTGACCATCTCTGCAGTGTCAAAGTCAGACGAAGGCTTTTATAAATGTAAACAGAGAGATTCAGCACATGGTAGGACGTCACCAGAGAGTTGGTTCTCAGTCAAATGTAAGTATCATTTAAAAACCCTTCCTTTTTTGTAAGCTGTGTTACAGTCTGAGATAAAGAAAGCTTAGTTTCATCTGAATTAAACTGTGTTTGTTTAAGAGAGATGTTTTATACAGTTAATCTATAACAGGAACGTTTAATATAAAATAAATATTAATAAAGATTACTTATAACAGCAGCGCACGGGCCTGGAAAAGCCTCTCAATTTCTCATTCTTCTGATCGTTGGGCTGCTTGGTGGAGTTGTACTGATTATTCTCCTGCTGCTGTTCCTGTATTTATACAGAAAGTCAAAAGGTGAGATAATTTTCTTCTGATATCAGATTGACTCTAATGTAACCACACGTACTGTTTTAACAGTAGAACACTTTCGCAATGAAAAATAATATAGTAGTACATTTATTTTTTTAACAGATTCATGCTGTATCAGGTTGGTACAACACTCTATTTTATTTTATTATGAACACGACAGCAGTCATATGTTCCTTTCTAAATCCACTTCATTTACTACATGTGTTTTGCCCACCAGATCTCAGAGCACCAATCAGGGCCCTGGTACAGACCACATGATCAAACAGGACGAAATTCAAAACATGCCACAATATTCTACTCTCCTCCATGGTCAGCCATTGTCCGGTTTAATAATATGATTTATTTTTAACTTTTGGCCTTAATTGTGATTAAAATGTGGCTTGATTCTCACTTCTCTGTAGGTGATCGTTGTCTCTATGAAACAATAGGAGGGCCTGTAGAAGCTGGAAATGGTACAGTATCTGTGTTTAACATGGAGTAATAGAAATACTACTGCAGTGGCCAGCAGTGTCTAAATAAAGTACAGGAATTGTCCTTTGATACATTATTTTAATCCTTCTAACAGGTGCCAGTAATGAACCAGAAGAGAGCCTTTACTCAAATGTGGCTGCAGGTAATGTCAAGTACAAAACACTTTTATACATATACACATAAATATACTAAAAGCTTTTATAATGTGCTGTGCTGCTTGCCAGTTTCAGCAATGAGCAAATCCACCAAATAAAGCTTTTACACTTTTTGTGCATTGTTATACAGCATGTTGTTTTCCAGTAATGTCTTGGTTTAATGATACATTACTTAAAATATCATAATTATTAAATGGAAAATGTAAATATGTTCACACACAAATTAATTGGCATTAACATACATTGTTTTATTCAAAAATAGACAGTACGATGAGCAGAAATGACCCAATGATAATAACTTATTTTGGTTTTCTTCCAGATCAATAAAGACATCCTCATGGACAGAACCAATGGAGCGGATAAATACATGAAAAACAACATCCTTGTTTAAGCAATTGAGTGTATTTGCTGCTTTTGTGTAAATAGCGCAGTGCCTTTTAAAAAAAATGCCTTTCTAGGAACATGGTGAATGCTTTGCAATTCACCTGTACTTACTTTCTGTGTACTTATATTTAGTGTAAAACATTGTACTACCACCTTATCTGTTAAATGTCTGATTCAGATCATGTGGCTCGAACCTTGTTGTACATTGAGTGATATTAGAGCCAGATACTAATATATGCAGTATGGACACATGCTTTAGCACTGTAGATGCACACAGTGGACACACAAATATATTATTAATAAAACCCAAATGCAATTATACCTGCATGTACTGTTCAGTGAATGATTCTTACTAGATGCTACCACAGGGTGCCCACAAATTATCTAATGCCTTGAATTTATCTGCAGAAGTAGTCTCTTGCAAAAGCCAAAACATCTGAAGTCACAGCACCATCAATAGGTCAAACAAGCTTTTCAGATTCAAAGGAACTGAAGCACACACCTTTTGTACAATGTATTTGTTTTCTATGAGAGTGAGCGAGAAAGAGAGAGAGCGCACCAGTTACGGGGACTTTTGTTGTTAGCATCTGGTGCTAGCTCAGAGCTAACGGACATTAGAAGCTGTTTCTTCAACAAGGAGAGGGAGAGCTCTCGCCTGTCAGACTGAGAAGCTGATAACTAAAGCTTCGTGAGGTAAAGGACTCTCTGAGGGTTTAGATCAGGGGTCGGCAACCTTTTTCATATGAAGTGTCATTCAAAAAAAAATGTGATCAGTGTGCCGACGATCGTGTATTGTCAACGGGGGGGGGGGGGCTGAAGAGCTCGACGCCCGTGAACTGTCAACAGGAGGGCGGGGAAGCAGTTTGTGGACCTCTTTCGCCTGTCAGCGCAACTTACATGATGCCTTACGTTTAAACAAATTTAAATAATTGTTTAAACGGCATAATAATAATGACGACCGTCTGTTCTGTGATTCTCCAGAACACACAGATGGCCAGTCCGCGCCTGTGTAGCATATGTTAAAGAGAGCGGGGCTGCGTTGCGTGCATGGCTTCCTTCTGCAGGTAACGGGGAGACGCGCTCTGGCGGCGGTCTCGTTCGGGATCCGAAAATACAATTTTAATATTTATTCCACTTATTTATTCCACTTATTCCTAGTGTGCCACTGGTTACGGTGCCGCATGCCAGGGGTTGCCGACCCTGGTTTAGATAGTTAACTTTAGACTAAGTTATCTCAGTGGGTCTCAAACGGTTAACGTAAAAAATAAAGTTTAAAAGGGAGTGATTAGTAAAATATGCATAAATAAAAGAAAGAATGCTAACTAGGTAACATAAGATAAGATAAAGATAGGAGAGAGGAGGGACTGAGGTGTTAATAAAATAAACAAGTTTAAATTATTTGTTATTGTTTTTGATCAAGGATTTTAGATTATTTAAATATATACAGTTCTGTTTCATGAGTGTTGAGTGCTGTATCCATAAATCCCTTAAGTGCGTGTAAACGTATACAAACAATATGCTGTATGTAGAGAGATGGAAGAAGGGAATCTACTGACGCACTACCGCAAACATTAGTTTGTCCAATTTATGTAAGTATGTTTTACTGAAGATATTTATTTTACTTTTTCTCCAGTCACTGTGAAGTTATAATAGAAGATTTATTTCGATATATGACCACAAGGTGGTGTCAAACTACTGTATCTGATACTTGACCTACTCTACACAAATAGTCCTTCTGAAGTCTGGCAGCAGGGTCTGATGTCATGTAACTCCTAACTAATAACTAAACAATTGACTGCTTACGGTTCACTTCCTTAGCTTAGCACTGATGCATGGAAGTGGAAGCTTTCAATGTTGACTACCCACCACATTTAAAACTACACAGCTACTGAAGTGTCGTGGTATTATTTATTTCGACCATTTTTATGGAATTAACATAATCTTTGTTCGACTGTGGATCAAATGTTGCACCTAGAAAAAACATATTTTCTGTATTCAAATGATTGCTTTATTACTAATGATATAGATATGAAAAGTTGCTCCCTTAAAGGAGATAGAGTCTATCTCGAGGAGGGGGCTGGACTTTGTCTCTCTTCACGTTCACTTCTGGTAAAGAGACTATGAGAGACTTCCTGTGGGTGAGGTTGTTTCTAAACTTAAGCTTGAATTCCTCCATAACACTCCATCACTGCGTTTCAACTATTTGGTTAAAGCTGTTACACACATTT